AAGAAGAAAACCTATTCTCAGTATGTAATTATTTTAACTTGGGTCCATGCAAATGTGTGTATATATATAAACATATGTAAGCGAAATAAATGATTATGAAGGAAGGAAGACATTGATATGTGTACAACAATGCATATTTTACAATCTATCTGAAGGCAAAAAGATCATTAAATACTTTCAGAAGTCAGCAGAAACACACAGGACCAGCAAAATTAATTCGTCGATGATGCAGTTGATGCATTGCTTCTGCAAATAATTTTAATGCTCATGATTTTGAGCCAATCTCATCTAACTGGTCTCCTCTGCAGTGAGGTAGAATAAATAACAGCAGATTAATGTTTGTACGTGCTTTACATTATTGATCCTCATCACACCATTCAATTCCATAATTAAAAGTCTTCAACCCCCAATCACTCGCATGCACTCTCCAGCACACAAGCATTCAAATATTTGGCAATGTGAATGAATGCTACAAATTTTGCAGAGGCCAAGGCAATCAATATTAATGTTGTCATCTACTTTTATTAGACACGAGCGGGAAGTACCCGGCGTTGCCCGGGGGAAAAATATATTTCAAAACTTGTCTTCTCTTAAAAACATAACACTAAGCTATTCTGAAAGCCCGGTGTGCCGTTTGTCCATTTGTCCGTCAACAAAATTATAAGAAGTCCAAAAGTTATAGAAAGTGGGGGGTAAATAATTGATCTAAAAGGTTTCCGAAAATTGTCGATCCCCGCCTCTAAAATATTTGTACCCCGACTTAGGCATATATACCTACACACCCTATATACAATAGAGTATCTGGCTCTACAGTAGTATCTACTGACTCTATAGTAGTATCTGTTGACTCTGTAGTTGTATCTACTGACTGTACAGTAGTATCTACTGAGCCCAGTAGTAGTTACTGACTGTATAGTAGTATCTACTGACTGTAGGAGTAACTACTGACCATAGTAGTATTTACTGACCCTACAGTAGTGTCTACCAACTCTATAGTAGTAACTACTAACTCTATCGTAGTATCTGCTGACTCTATAGCAGTATCTGCTAACTCTATAGCAGTATCTACTGACTCTATAGTCGTAACTACTGACTCTGCAGCAGTATATACTGACTGTAGTGGAATCTACTGACTGTAGCATTATCTACTGACTCTATAGTATTGTAGTGAGTCCAACTGAGTCGCAGACGTTATCTTGGCAGCAACACTATTCATTCCACATTAACACGTAACACAATACAATCTACACTCGGGTCTCGAATGCCCATCTAACCATGCTACGGCTGAACTAGACACGGTTCGCTATCCTGGTCCGGACCACAAGCTGGGTCCCGGACCGCATGGCTAGAGGCTTCTTCTCCCCGACGTGGATCTTCCAACACCAACACTTGAAGAACCCCGAGTTCCTCACGGAGCTCTCATTATATGCTCCGGGGCTGGCGCTGGCTCGGCCCTTAGCCCCGCCCACCATCCAGGCTTCTCGAGCTCCTTCTCGAATGTTCCCGAGAGCCCCTCGGAACCACGTGACCGCCCCTCGGCCCCGTTGGTCCCCCTCCAGTATCGTCCGGTCATGTGACAACAGGTCAACCAGAGTGTCATGCCCAAGAGTAACAATGGCTGACTGTCGCTCGCTCTTGCTCCCTCACTGGGAGCCGGTATCGCACAGTGCTCGCGGTGCCTCCGCGCTAACCAGCACTCACCCAACCACCGCTAGGGTTGGTACTGCAGCCCATAACCTGGGCTGCCTGTAATGACAACATTACCGGCCATGACTTCACAAGCCCCGGCACCATATGAGTACAGTCACTACAGTAGTATCTACTGACTCTACGGCAGTATCTACCGACTCTATAGTAGTATCTACCGACTCTATAGCAGTAACTACTGACTCTGCAGTAGTATCTAATGATTATAGTAGTACCTACTGAATCTAGAGTAGTATCTATTGACTCTATAATAGTATCCACTGACTATAGTAGTAACTACTAACTCTATAGTAGTATCTGCTGACTTCATAGCAGTATCTGCAGACTCTATAGCAGTATCTACTGACTCTATAGTTGTATCTACTGTCTTTGCAGCAGTATATACTGACTTTAGTGGTAGATACTGAATCTAGTATTATCCACTGACTATAGTAGTATCTACCAACTCTATAGTAGTGTTAGCTACTCACTGTTCGGTAACCTGCATTGCCACTAGGTATCAAAGGGGCAGTGCAGCGTTACCTCTGTGTACATAACGATTGGGGTCAGACGAGGTGATGTGGATCGTAGCCACAGTTTGGTAAGAACCAATCAGACAGTTCCATGTGGGAATGTGGGATTGGTTACACCTGGCCACAAACGGGTATAAGAAGGTGACCGCGCAGAGCGCGGGGAGTTCTCTCCCTACACAAAGACCGAAGCCTGGGCTGAAGATAGCCAGGACCCTGGACCGAGCCTTCCAGCCCTTCTGAGGGCTAAGACTCGGCGTATCCAGTGGTCAAGACCCGCCGGGCCAGCGGTGAGTCAGATAGCCTCCCCTAGGTCCCAGCCGGAGGACTCTAGGATAGCGGTAGACGTGTGAGTAAGTCCCGCCAAGACAGGAGGCTGTACCTCCTTAGGTTAAGAAGAGACCTGTGTGTAGGTCACGTTAAGTCTGGAGGCTGTACCTTCTTAGGGTATCGGTTGAGGGGACCGTATACTCCTCTGTGTGTTAAGGATTGTGTAAGAGAAGTATTACAATAAACAGAGTGTGCCTCATAAGAAGTTTATTCGTCATTATAAACACTACAGTAGTAACAACTGACTCTATAGTAGATTCCACTGACTATAGTAACTACTAACACTACAGTAGTATTTACAGACTCTATAGGAGTATCTACTGACTATAGAGGTATTAACTGACCATAGTAGTATCTACTAAATCTACAGTAGTATCTACTGACTCTATAGTAATAACTACTGACCGTAGTAGTATCTACTGACTGTATAGAAGTATCTACTGACTGTAGCAGTATTTACTGACCGTAGTGCTATCTACTGACTGCAGTAGTATCAACTGACTCTATAGTAGTATCTACCGACTATTACTACTATAATAGCCCAGAAATGTATGTAATGCACGTGACGTCACTCCACATGCCGCACCCCCCCCCCCCCCCCCCCCCCCCCCCCCCCCCCCCCCCCCCGTCAATAATAAAAAAAGAATAATGAGCGGCTGGATTTTTACACTCACGCGGAAGAAATTTGAGTGGAAAGATATTTTTTCGCAGAGTCGCTTTAAATATGACGTTTCTTTACAAAAAGTGACGGTCAAAAAGAAACATATGCAGCACTGTGCTACATCTGTACGAGATGTCACTGCAAAAGAGACCCCTCCCCTCCCCCCGTCATTACTCTCATAAGCAAGACATTTTTTAACTTAAATTCGCTTTAAATTTCATGTTTCTTTATTGAAAGATTGAAAGTTACTCAAATAAATAACTCTACGCAGACGTTTCTTTATGTAAATATTACAGCTTCCGTCCTAGGATGGGAAAGAGGCTAGTATAGTAGTAACTACTGACTCTATAGAAGTATCCACTGACTAAAGTATTAACTACTAACGCTACAGTAGTATCTACTGACTCTATAGTAGTATTTACTGACTTTAGAAGTATTTACTGGCTGTAGTTGTATCTACTAACTCTACAGTAGTATCTACTGACTCTATAATAGTATCTACTGACCGTAGCAGTAGCTATTGACTGTATAGTAGTATCTACTGACTGTAGCAGTATTTACTGACCGTAGTCGTATCTACTGACTGCAGTAGTATCAACCAACTATAGTAGTATATAGTGACTCTACAGTAGTATCTGATGCCTATAGTAGTTCTACTGAATCTATAGTTCTATCTATTGACTCTAAAGTAGTATCAACTGACTAAAGTAGTAACTATTAACTTCATAGTAGTATCTACTGACTATAGTATTACCTACTGACTCTATAGTAGTATCTGCAGACTCTATAGTAGTATCTCCAGACTCTATAGCAGTATCTGCTTACTCTAGCAGTATATACTGACGCTACAGTAGCATCTACCAACTCTGCAGTAGTATTTCTCGACTCTACAGTAGTATCTACCTACTCTCCAGTAGTATCTACGTACTCTATAGTCGTATATACCGACTCTATAGTAGTATCTATCGATTCTATAGCAGTTAACTACTAACTTAATAGAGTGCCGTGGCGAAGCCTAGTCCCATGCAGAGCCCCCGGTTTCGCCTTGTTTGCCCAGCCGGCCAAAGTGGCCGGCTGGGGCTGGGCCGCAACCCCCCCCCCCCGACCATCCCCCCGCGTGCACGACAGTAGTAGTATCTACGGACTATAGTAGTATCTACCGACCCTATAGTAGTAAGTACACAAAATTGGGGGGGGGGGGGGGGGAAGAGGACATCACACTTTGAAGAATTTACCTCAGCGTAGTGTATTTTTTTATTTTTAACGCGAATTAGAATTCCTTCCTCCCCCCACCGATCGCGTGTGTGCATTGCTATGGGAACCACAGGTCAGCGTTCTCGCGCATGCACAGATGCGTGCTTTGGCGCGTGCTCAGCATAGTAATATAATAATTAATAGTAATAAATTGCTTATTTAACTACTTTAAAGTTGAAGGATGGGAAATACGAATAGCGCTGGCTCACCTCAGGACTTATCGCGTGGTATACAGTATATGACATTCCAAGATGGAGCTTTGTGGAGATCTTCCTTTGCCAGTGCACTGCGATTCCAGTAGCTGGGCATGAGTGGATGAGTAATGCGAACGATGCAGGTGGCATTGTCACGGTGGCGAGATGTTAACTACGTTGCCTGGTATACAAGAAGTCGTGGGTTCAATGCAGACCCTGACACCTGTATTTGGCTGCCATAAATTTCCACATGATAAGCCACTTCGTTGAGCGATCATTTTGTGGCTAGGCCATTTCTGAAAAAGAGCTTTACCTGGTAAAATAAAAATAGTTCATTGTCCTGACCTGAGAGTTGAACCGCACTTGGCAAATATTGCAAGTGATGAGCTGCCTCTTCCTGGGCTGTACTGGAAGGCCGAATGTGTGGTTGATCACAGCTTTCTGGACCGGATCCATCTGCCATGGAAAAAACATCGGTTATTATTATGATGATAATATTCATGATATTACCATAATTGTTTATCCGGGAAAGCCTCAAATCAGTTCAGTTTGATATTACTCGTGACATCAAGGGGTCATATTGGCATCACTCCAGATCTATGAAAATAAGTTGGCACCGCTTGCTTTGATGTTTGGCTTGTTGTTCGAGCTTGAGAAGGGCAAGGCACCTCTATTGTATGATGTTACCTCTCCAATACAGTCTGGGTCATCAATCTGTTCCTTCTTCCACTTACACACCCTTGAATGATGGTTTTTCAGAAGGCCATCTGTTTTTGTACAATGTACAAACCAATGGAGGTTCTTTCTAATAATGCGGATATGACTCTCAAACAGGCTGACATAGCCACAAGGCTTGTGTGCTCAGCTTATCCGAGTCTCTTTTTTGGAAGGGTTGATTTGGAAAAAGTGGCTATTTCCTTACAAAAAATTTTGCTTCTTATCACAGCAATCAGAATTAAAAAAAAACATGTATATATAGGTCAGAACCCTACTTGCTGCTATAACACTTTTTTTGCTCTGCAGGTGGGTGTTATCCATCAACCATCAACCCCACCTGAGAAGACATCTACACCAAGGATATGGAGCGATTACATCAGCTCAAATGCACATACATCAAATACATCACAGGATCATGAGAGATGGCAGTAGCTTGGGAAGGCCTTCATCCAGCAGTAAATTGATCATGCCTGATCATGCCTGATAATGGTGATGATCTGATGAGATTGAATTCTCGAGAACATGGCTTGTGATGTGTTCTTGACATTACTCGTGTGCACACATATGTGCCGCACGTATTCTAAAAGAGACTAAATCAATGCGAAACAAATTAAGTAGATCCATAATACATGTTTTTGGGGTTAGATCGAGTAAATATATAAATGTGTCATTAAACCCGCCACCACTCGACACAGCCAATTAGTAAGGTTTGTGACGTAAACGGAACATGCCAATTTGTTACTAGTGTAGTGTCATCGGTCTCTTCTTCCTTCTCCTCGAGGCTTGTGTGTGTGTGCGGGTGGCATGCGTCGCACACACACTCAGTCGGAGACAAGGTAGTTGCAGGAGGCACCATCTTTCCTTTATTATATTCACACCACCAACTCCAGCCCCTTCTCTGATGAGCACGCTGCCGTACGACCCGGCCCAGACACGAACCCATCCGCGATTGTACCGACGGCGTCGACCGAGACAGCCAACTACTGTCCGGCCGCGCAATGATCGGGCAAAGGCGGCAGCGACGATGAGATGAGTCCACTCCCAGAACCGGCAGCCCAGAGCTCTCACTCTACGCTGCTTAAATTCCCCTTGGCACGACTTGGTTCTGCCCTAGCCGTGCCTCCCTCCTCGAACCCACCAGAGGGTTCCAGGGACCTCCCCACAAGGTCTTCTATGACCCTTGCCCCAGTTCCTACGCCCTGCCGGCACATCCGTGTATATGCTCAACAGTGTGTGTGCTAAGTGTCCACCTGCAGTTGCAGCTGCTGTACAAAAGTTAGTGCTGTGTCACTATACTAGTACAGCACACCAGTGTGTTGGGGAGCCAAGCCACAACATTTACAATCTGAGTACGTTATTTTGCCAGTAATTACAACTAGCTTCATCAGGCGACAGCCAGATTTGTGGAGAAGTCCTCCTGTTTCGTTCCTTAAATAGAAGGTTAGATGTGATGACAACACATGTGTGCTCTTCTTGCGCAAAGTGAAGAGGGGGGGGGGGGTGATTAATGAATGCGTATAAATTACTATGAGTATCCATTGTCCTTTGGGTTATTTATATGGTAATCAATGTACATTATACATGCACATTATGTAAGCCCATTGTTCGTGTACTTCCTGTCGATTGTGTGTAGTAAAATAGCCGTACCAACAGTAATCCCTATTGAAGTATGGCGACCTGTATAGGCATGCATTTCAACAATGTATTATTTGATGATTTGCTTCCAAGCAGCACTACGTCTGTAGCTATCCGAACGGTTAAAATTATTTGTATTTCTTTCCATTTCGATAGATTCTCTAATTAGTCTTGGCCAGTAGTAACTAGTTTTGCACAGAACTTCAACATTATCAAAATCAATTGAGTGTCCTTGTTGGCACACGTGTTCTGCCACTGCCGACAGTTGTATTTGGGAGTATTTCATCTTCCTCTGGTGTTCTTTTAGTCTCGTGCTGATCATTCATCCTGTCTGCCCAACAGAGCATTTGCAATTAATCCAGTATACACCTTCTGTTGATATCTTCGGTGATACATCTTTTGAACCAGATATAAATTTCCGTATTTATGTACCGGAGTGCCATTCTTCCACTCCGGTGGTGGGTGTACACCCAGGACCCCATTCCAACCAAAAGTGGCCTGGTCTCAGTTATCTGATGAAAGTTGCAAGCGAGAATTTCATCATCGCTTGCGGCTGGGATTGGCATCGTCCCTGACTCCTCCTGATGTCGAGGGTAAATGGGTGAGGTTTAGGACTGTGACTCATCCAGCTGCAATGGCTGCTTTGGGTACGCGGTCCAAACCACCCCAGAGACCCTGGCTGACAGAGGAGGTGTTCAGGATGGTTGAGAAAAAGCGACAGGCCCACGGTCATCAGCTACAGAATCCCACGTTAGAGAATGAGGAGGCTTACCGCAGCCTTCGCTCGGAGGTTCGGAGAGCCGTGAGGCGCTGCAAGGATGGGTGGTGGTCGCAGGTTGCTGAGGAGATGGAGTCTGCCTCAGTGGCCCGCAATCACAAATCTCTATTTAACTCGATCAAAAAAGTAACCTGCAGTGCCACAGCTATTACCATCATTAGGGGAAAAAATGGTGATCCAATCTCTGACCCCCAGGAACAGGTTTGCAGATTTGCTGAGCATTTCTGTGAGGTCCTGGGGGAGGGAAAATCCCTCAGCCAGGAAAACATCGTGGCACCAAGTGAGGATGATCCTGCTGCGGCTGCGGTGCCTCAAATATTGGAAGAAGTCACCCCCTGTGAGTGGCTGGCTGAAGTACCATCTGTTGAGGAAGTACTGAAGGTGATCCGGAGTCTGAGACCAGGAAAGGCAGCGGGCAGAGATGATCTCCCAAGCGAAATGCTGAGGGAGGGTGGCGTTTGTGCACAGACTGCCCTATATGACATCATGACAACAGTCTGGACCACTGGACAGGTTCCGCAGGATTGGAAGGATGCCCTGGTGGTCCCCCTCTTTAAGAAGGGGGACCGCACAGACTGTAACAACTACAAGGGCATCTCACTCCTCTGTGTGCTGGGAAAGGTCCTGGCAAGGATTATTCAACATCGCCTCGCCAGGCAAGCTGAGGAAAGGCTTGCGGAGCCCAAATGCGGTTTCAGGAAAGGGCGGTCCTGCACAGATGCCATATTTTCTGTCCGTCTGCTACAGCAGAGGTGTAGGGTATTCCAACAAGACCTACATCTCTACTTTATTGACCTGGTCAAGGGCTATGATACCATCAGTAGGCCTGGGCTCTGGGTTGTTCTTCGTGCTTTTGGAGTCCCTGATCCTCTGCTCACGATCATTAAGGACCTTCATGATCTTCTTTGGTTATTTCGGTAAAGTCACGTAGAATGAGAATAAATAATAAAATAAAACAATAACATTCTCACAACGTTTCGGCCACAACACAAGTGGCCTTCTTCAGGTGAAAAGAACAAACCTGTCGGGACGACAGAGCTACAATGAACGCTGCTAAGATTCGCAGCATCTTTTAAGCTGGTTGAGAGAAGTGAGGCACCTTGACAAAGGGGTCTACATATCAAACAGGTAGAACGAACTCCTCCGCCGTGGCAGATCACTGTTATAATTCAGTGGGCTCACATGACATTGACTTCTCCAAGACAGAGGTTCTTTGCAAGCCAACCGGCTACCATGAGAGATTCGTTCATGAGGCTATCCACATATACAAGCACAGAGACAATTTCAACCGAGAAGATGGATTCTGGCTTAGTAACCATTGTAAAGATGTTTTAAACCATTTCGATTCTTAATTAATTATTTTATGGTGACCTTCAGACCGCAGCTCTTTCGTTGGCATTGACTCTTAATACTTCTCACACCACGGTTAATGGTATGGTTTATAATATCATTATAACAGCGCCTCGCAGCTGTTTTTTCCTCCCTCCTCTGTTCCGACCATGATGGACTCGTCCATCTGAACGGGGCTCGTAGCGGTCCGTGGTGCTGATGTGGAGGGTAAGAATCCACCCATTTTTTCACCATATAGCATCGTGATATATAACGACTTATTGTTGGTAGCTCAGCTGATTGGAGAATATATAGAGTTTATTGATATCATTGAGGTAGTTTATATTTTAGTTTTTTATCTGTTTACTACATGGTATTCATTATATAGTGTAGTGTATACCCAGTTGCTGTTAATAGCTCTGCTTATTGAAGAATATATTGAGTACATATATTATATTGATGTAATTTAGACTTAGGTTTTTTTCACATCGGTTTACTGTATGATAGTTGAGTTGTTGCAGCCCCTTTGGCGTCCATGTACGAGGTGCCTCTGTGGATGTGTAGGCTTTGACTTTAACATAGCTATTTCTGTGACCAGTCACAAGCTAATCCCTCAACTGTTTCAATGCTAAATTCTCCTGTTTGATATGTAAACCCCTTTGTCAAGGTGCATCACTTCTCTCAACCAGCTTAAAATATGCTGTGAATCTTAGCAGCGTTCATTGTAGCTCTGTCGTCCCGACAGGTTTGTTTCTTTCACCTGAAGAAGGCCACTTGTGTTGTGGCCGAAACGTAGTGAGAATTTTATTGTTTTATTTTATTATTTTATTCTCATTCTACGTGACTTTACCGAAAGAACCAAAGAAGATGAATCCTTGCAGTCACGAAAGCTTTAAATCGAGACCTTCATGATGGTGAGCGGGCCCGGGTAAAACTACGTGGCCGGGAGTCAGAGCCATTCCCTGTACACCTTGGGGTGCGACAGGGATGTCCTCTG